CATGATCCCAGGGTCCTGGGATCGAGCCCCGCATCGGGCTCCCTGCTCAGCGGGAAGCCTGCTTCTCCCTCTCCCTCTCCCCCTGCTTATGTTCCCTCTCTCGCTGTGTCTCTCTTTGTGGTAAATAAATAAAATCTTTAAAAAAAAATAAAAATAAAGAAAATTAAATCAAGTTTTTATTTCTCTTCAGGTGCAGAGAATGTAGAACGAGTGCTGGTTACTGTTATCCAAGGAGCAGTTGAATATCCAGATCCAATTGCACAGAAGACATGTTTTATCATCCTCTCCAAGTTGGTAGAACTCTGGGGTAAGAGGATTAAAAATAAATAAATAAAAATAAAAAACTTTATTCCACAACCTGTTTCCTAAGACCCTTAGAGATGGAACCCTAGCTCTAACATAGGAGCTGGGAGTTAACTTTCTCCAGTGATAACTAACTGACTTTCTTTTTATACAAGATGAAAATTTGAATTCTCTTGACAGGAGGTAAAGATGGACCAGTGGGATTTGCTGATTTTGTTTATAAGCACATTGTCCCTGCATGTTTCCTAGCACCTTTAAAACAAACCTTTGACCTGGCAGATGCACAAACAGTGTTGGTAAGCACCTAGGAATCTTTGTTTGCCTTGTGTCCATCTTGTGTATTCTAACTCACAATTTCTTTAATGCCAGGTTGACTATATTAGTCTCATTGCCATTATTTTTTTAAAATTAATTTCAAATTAGGATTCATTTTTAAAAGGTTGATGATATCTTCTGGACCTTTTGTAGATTCTTACTGAATCCTGATACTAAAGTTTAACATATAAAATCCAACTCCTTCAACTTTAACAGCCTCCAACTCCTCTTTTTCTAGGACCATGAAAGGGTACATGATACAAGCACTCATTAAAACTTGATTGAGTTACGAATTTTCTACTATTTTCATTCTAAACTTTGCATTTAATGGTTTTTTCTTAACCATTAAGAGTAACTTTTTTTTGCTTAGATGATAGTTTCCCTAGATCTCATTTTTTCAGAATACTAATGTCAAGCAGTGCCCTTTACTCATTTACCCAAAACCTAGTAAAAACTAGATTTTATGATTTGATATACTGCATTAAGACAGCATTTTTGTATTTTTTCCTTTTTCTATCCAACCCACTTATTCCATATGCCTGTCCCTTTCCTTCCTCTGTCCCTTGTTTGGGAGTAATTGTTAATGAACAGTGGCCAGGGAAATAAAGAGACAAGTGGGATCGGTAACCAAAAATTGAGTGTATTAAAAATCTCACACTTGTTTTTCATAGGCTTTATCTGAGTGTGCGGTGACATTGAAAACAATTCATCTCAAACGGGTAAGCCTTGCACTCTGTGCCCCTTTGTTTTCGTCATAAATGCAGATTTGTTATGGTTTTAATTGTGTTTGACTTGTCTCGTTGCTGTATCTTTTGTAAAAGTTGATTTAGTCCTGTCTTTTTTGGACGTGAGGAAGGGGTTGAATGAAAGCGGTATCTATTACTGTCCTTTCTGTTTTGGGTAACAAGAAGTTTAAAATGTATGTTCATTTTGGTTTGACAAAGAATGCAAAAAATTCTAAAAAAGATCCACATTTCATGACTCATTTGGCTCTTCACAGCCAGATTTCCCCAAATTCTTAGTATTATAAATGGTTAGAGTGCTTTGCTACTTTAGAATGTTTTGTTCTCCTTGTCAATCTGATCATTTGCAAAATTGTAAGTGATTCTGGGCTGAATCCAGCTGGTGAGTTGTTTATCTTGTACAGTATTTTTTAGTAACATGAATTTGATTGTAAACATTTAAAAATCAGGTACTGGGGTGCCGGGCTGGCTCAGTCAGTGAGCGTGCAGCTCTTGATTTCAGGATTGTGAGTTTGAGCCCCATGTTGGGCATGGAGCCTACTTAAAAAAATAATAAAATTTTAAAAATAAAAATCAGGTACTTTTTTTAAAAAAGAAAAATTCCTATCTCCAGCTTTTTTCAAAGCCAGGATGCCAACAAAGGATTCGCATTCCCACAGAGCAGCTTGCCCCACCCCCCAAAAAAGTATTCACCAGTCTCCATGCAGTCCACTCCCTCATTTGAACTTGAGTTTTGATTCTGATACAGATTTGAAGGGTTTTATGCCTACTATGCCAGGGTGAAGAGTATGTGGGGACTGGGGGGGGAGGGGAGGGCAGCAGGGGAGCTGTATAAAGATGAATTAAGTTTAAAAGTCCCCCAATATTGTTTTTTTTATTTTATTTTTTTTACAAACACTTATGTCGAGGGCTGATTTTCAGTAGATGGCAGCGAGGGAGCTGCTAGTCCCCCAATATTTTTAGGACTTAGAATCGGGACACAATGTGTAAATAACTCAATGTGTTAAGTACTTGAATAGAGATACGTTAAATTAATATATCTATATTAAATGTAATATTGTGAGACTAAAGATGAGCAAGCAATTTTGCTTATGTTGGCAATCTAAGAAAGCCATAGGAAAGAAGTGGTTTTGGTTTTGGTTTTTGATAGGCCTTAGGACACAGGTAGACTCATTGGACTGAAAAAGAGGAGCTGTCATTCTGGGGAAAGTTAAGCAGGTATATGAAGATAGAGCAGATGTTGCCTTGTGGATTTGATAGAAAATAATAGAATTATCCTGTTTAGCTGAAGTAGGGAGGTAGAAGTAATAGCTAAAAAGTAGAATAGGATTAGGTAGTAAAAAGCTTTGTGTTATATATGAAAAGTTGGGAAGTCAGTGGGCACTAGGGTTATAATTTAGTATAACTTGGAAGCATATTCAGAGAGCAGTTTGGAATATGGGTCTGAAGCAATTAGAACTAAATACTGATTTTGGAGTCCACAGTGTGTAGTCAAGGTGAAGTGGTAGGAATGAATGAGACTTTCTAAGACCAGAATAGAAAAAACCCTGGCTAAAGCAAGAGTCAAGAGAAAGCTAGAAGTAGAACCAAGAGGTACGAATGATAAGAGAAAAGACTCATAAGAGAGGATGCTAGAAAGTCAAGGAGGGGGCCGCCTGGCTGGCTTAGTTGGTAGAGCATGCAACTCTTGATATTGGGGTCGTGAGTTCAAGCCCCACGTTAGGCATAGGGCTTACTTTAAAAAAAAAAAAGAGAAAAGGTAAGAAATCAACTATACTTTAAATAAATAACTTACATTTCACAGTGAAATGCAGCAAAAACAAAACAAAACCAAAAAAAACCCAAAATGTGAGAAGGAATGTAGAACAGATCTGAGAAGCTTTCACAAACAGTGCATTGTTAGCTCTTCTGAATTAGGACTAGCTTTCCTTTGAGAGGGCATTAAATTATGCCATAGGCCCATTGGGTTAGAGGGGCAGGGACCAGGGTGGAAGGAGAAACATGAATTCTTTGATTCAGGAGTATTATTAAACAGGAAATTCAAGTGTTAAGGCAGGGAAAAGTGCATTGAGGAGAGATGGATTGATATATTTTTTTTTTTTTTGGATGATGATTTCATTTTGATAACTGTTACTTTCAGTTGGATCAGGGTTGGAGTCATCAACATACTAAAATCTTTAAATCAGACTCAGGTTTGAAAGTGAGGGGGGGGTGTGTATGTGTGTATGTGTGTGTGAGTGAGAGAGAGAAGTACTGGATTTATTACATTTGCTTCAGGCCACTCTCTCAAACACATTGCTATAAGAAAACCATTTTCAAATTGTATCCTAAGTTCCTTTGCAGCTTCTGAGAAGGGGCAGGGGTTTGGGAAGTTTACTAAAAAAAGAAACAAAAACAGAACACTATTGTAATTTTTAGCATCTAGAAGTGCTAAAAGATGGCAGACAAGAGCAATGGTTTTAGAAATCAGATGACCTGCTTTTCAGTACAGATGAAATCAACAGCACACTGGGCAAATCACCCTATCTTTCTCAGTCTTGGTTTCCTCATTTGGCTGCTTAATTCCTGTTCCATGGTGGTCAAACAGGAAAAAGGGAGGTGTACTTTTATTGCTATTATCTCTTAACATGTCATTTTGTTATTTCTTGCTTGTATTTTAGTTTCTTAGGATGGTTACTACCCTACACTTGCCCAAAGGCTTCCCCTCATGTACCTGCAGACACCATATAATCCACCCAGGGGTAGATTGAACAAGAGCACCTCTGTTTGCTGTCTTCTTTCAGTGCTTGGAAGACTGGCTTTGTTACTTCCCTGATTTAGAAGAATATTTGTTTAATCTTCACTATATAATGCTAAGTAATGTTAACATGTAATGAATGCTAAACACTATTCTAAAAGCTTTATATTTCTTAACTCATCCACTCCTCACAGTAACTCCCATTTTTCAGATTGGGAAACTCAGGCTCAGAGAGATTAAGTAACCTGCTCAAGTTACCAGAAATTTACCAGAGCCAGGCCTCAAACCAAAGCAGTCTGGCTCCAGACTATATTCTTTTTTTTTAAGATTTTATTTATTTATTTGACACAGACACAGCGAGAGAGGGAACACAAGCAGGGAGAGTGGCAGGGAGAGGGAGAAGCAGGGCTCCCGCCGAGCAGAGAGCCCAATACAGGGCTCGATCCCAGGACCCTGGGATCATGACCTGAGCCGAAGGCAGACACATTACGACTGAGCCACCCAGGTGCCCCTCCAGACTAATTCTTAATCACAATACCATATTGTGTTTGATGTATACATGTGTCATTCTAATTTCTTTTTATGCATTATTAATATCAAGAAAATAATTCAGTTATAATTATCTTTTGATTTTCAGGGCCCAGAATGTGTTCAGTATCTTCAACAAGAATACCTGCCTTCCTTGCAAGTAGCTCCAGAAATAATTCAGGTAAGAGCTGTCAGAGCAGATATTTCTCTTAATTTAATTAAAGAAATAGGACTATGTAGTTCAATCTAAATTTTGATTCAACAAAGTTAAACTGAAAAAAGGAAAAGAAAAAGTTAAACTGCATTCAACTTGATGTTTTACTGTATACAGGATCACAGAGTTCAGACTTCAGGGGTATATGAAATTGAATGGGAGAAAATTATATTTTTATTTTCACTAACCTTTAACCAAAAGCTTAATTTCCTACCATTGTGTAGGTGACAAATCACAAAGCACAGTAGCATTCGCATTGCCTGTGACTTTGTCACCAGTAGAAATCACAGATTTTTTGTGTCACATTAGTTGTTCCAGGGATCTCACAATCCTGTTTATACTTCAAGATACTGAAATTGTGAGTTCTTAAGATACACCACCAGACCTTGTTATCTGAGTCAGTAAGTCTTACTATTCTAGCACATATCAAAAATACTTTTTGATAACCATAAGCCATTATAATTAGTTTTCTTTGTAATCCCATATATTATAAATTTTAAAAAATGGGGGCGCCTGGGTGGCTCAGTCCAGTTGGGCGTCTGCCTTCAGTTCTGGTCGTGATCTCAGGGTCCTGGGATCCAGCCCCACATTGGTCTCCCCCTCAGCGGGGAGTCTGCTTCTCCCTCTGCCTCTCACCCTGCTCTCTCTCTCTCTCAAATAAATAAAATCTTTAAAAATAATAATAATAGATTTTTTTTTAATGTTTTATTTATTTATTCATGAGAGTCAGAGAGAGAGAGAGACAGAGGAAGAAGCAGGCTCCCCGCCTAGCAGAGAGCCCAATGTGGGACTCGATCCCAGGACCCTGGGATCATGACATGAGCCGAAGGCAAACGCTTAACCATCTGAGCCACCCAGGCGCCCAGTAGATTTTTTTTTAATATTTTATTTGTTTATTTGACAGAGAGAGACACAGTGAGAGAGTGAACACAAGTGGGGGAAGTGGGAGAGGGAGAAGCAGGCTTTCCGCCGAGCAGGGAGCCCGATGTGGGGCTCGATCCTAGGACCCTGGGCCCATGACCCGAGCCGAAGGCAGATGCTTAACGACTGAGCCACCCAGGCGCCCCAATAATAATAGATTTAAAAAAAAATTCTAAAAGGAGTCCAGTAGGCTCCCCCAGACTGCCAAAGGGCACCACAACACACAAACCTACTGTGAAGATTGGTGCTACGTAGTTTATTTTACATACGCCAAGCTTATCAATGCTTAATTTTTAAATCTGAAACTATATTGTGAAGTATCTGGAAAGCGATGTTACATTTTTACACTATTGCAGAGTAATTTTTTTAATGGCATTCAGTGATTTTCTTGGCGTGTAGTTATCCAGACTTGTCCAATAGCACATAGATCTAATTGAGATATCAGAGATGTTTTGTTGTTGTTGTTGTTTTAAGATTTTATTTGACAGAGAGCAAGCACAAGTAGGGGGAGCCCAATGGAGGGCTCAATCTCAGGACCCTGGGATCATGACCTAGCCTAAGGCAGACGCTTAACGACTGAACCACCCAGGCACCCCTTAAAGTTTTGATTACAAATCTCTCCATCAGATTCTAAGAATTGGTTCTTCACCAACAGTGTTTTTAAAAAGTTTTTATAATGCTATTTTATGAAAGACATAGAAAAAATTGGATGAAAACTAGGATAGATCTTGCATAAGAGTAATCATAAAACTCATTTTTAATGAATTTATGATCTCTTATTTCATGACATACCATCTTTAACTTTAAAGGTATTAATGGATTTTCTCAGCTTTAATTTGTTATATAAGTAATGTTTTAATGAAAGCAGTAAGTTACTAATTACTCACATGAGCTTAATGCCCATCAAAAATAGAAATATACCAGATTGCTAAGTAAAGCAAAATTATATTTCTATCTAATAATTTGATTATAAAAAATAAGCATCCCCAGTTTTCCCTTTTTCATATGCCTTCTGACAACACTTTGCAGAATTCTGTTAGAGAGACTTAACCTCTTTTTCTTTTGGTCAAGCTCTGCTCAGTTACCACTCTTATTAGGTGAGAACAGTCAGAGCAATGTAGTTTTTATCCTATTCTCCCTTCTAAGGCATGAGTCAACCTTGTTTAGGAGAGCCATGTTCTCAAAAGTGAAAGCAGCCTATATCTGACAAGTATTACATTTGAAAATGCCATAGAACCTTTTTTGGTGAGGAACTATTCTAGGTGACTTTGATAAGTTATCATACTACTACTATAGATTTAAAGCAACTTAAATGCCTTTTGACAGATGAATGGATAAGTAAGATGTAGTATATACATACAGTGGGATATTATTCAGCCTTAAAGGACATCCTGTCACATGTACAACGTGAATGAACCTTGAGGACATTATGCTAAGTGAAATAAGCCAGTCACAAAAAGAGAAATACTGCATAATTCCACCTGTATGAAGTATCTATAGTCCAACCCTTAGGAACAGAAAGTAGAATGGTGGTGGCCAGGGGTGTTGGGGAAGGGAAATGGGGGAATTGATGTTCAATGGGTATAGTTTCAATTTTACAAGATGAAAAGTTCTAGAGATCTGTTGCACAACAGTATGCATATAGTTAATGGTAATGCACCGTACATACAAAAATGGTGGTTAAGATGGTCAGTTATATGTTTTTTTTTTAAACACAATTCAAAAAAGAAAACTGTGGATTTGAATTACTGTGAATTTAATACAATTAGATTCATTCTCTTTCTCTCCTCCTATCTTGACCCCTCAGGAGTTTTGTCAAGCGCTTCAGCAGCCTGATGCTAAAGTTTTTAAAAATTACTTAAAGGTAGGTATTTGGAAAACTTACATATCTTCGTACAACTAGGTAATACTTTAGAGCAGAGAGAGAATACATATTACAGGATACTATGTCATACTGTAGTCTTACCAATTATTACTTATTTGGGGATATCTTCTAAAACCTGCTTCTAAAAATCTATAGTTTTAGATGTTATACTTCAGGGTTTTTTATAAAGCCCCTTTCAACTGAGTTCTTAGAAAAGATCATAAAAAGTGAGGTAAGCACAGTGTGTACATGCTTGAACATACTATGAAAATGCCAATCAGTTTCCTTTTACAGTTTGTGATATAATTAAATAGGAACTACAGGATTTAGACAGGTAATGTTTAAGAACATGTGCCCATATTGCGTTGAAAGAAAGGAGCTAAAAATATGAAAACAAGTATGGATTACTTGGTTATATCCTATTTTTGAAACTTCTGAATTGTAAAACGGACAGAAAGAATCCTCAGATTTGGCAGTCAAGGCTCTTTTTACATTCATAAATTGAGTGAATTTTTTTCTTTTAAAGATTTTATTTATTTAAGAGAGAGAAAGCACATGGGGGAGGAGCAGAGGGGGAGGGGAAAGAATCTTCACCAACTCCGCATTGAGTGTGGAGCCTGATGCAGGCTTTATCTCACAACACTGAGACCCTGACCTGAGCCAAAACCAAGACTGAGCCACCCAGGCGCCCCTCAAAGTTGACAAGAAGTACCGAGTGTTTATTTGGTATTCATATTTACAATTTAAATCCGTGAGGCAGAACTGTGTTGCTCTTACCCAGGCAGTTAGTCATTCATTACTCCATGATGGCTTTTTATGTAACAGGTACTATGCTAACTGCTACAGATAACCATATGAGTTACTTTTCTTGCTTATAAAGAGCTTGTGTTCTGGAAATAAAATTGCAGTGTGACAAGATGAAGAACTGTTCTTTGTTTCTATTACCTTCATTCAACAAATCTGAGGACAAAACACTATGCTAAATATGTTGGTAGCACGCGACTTAATGAATGACTACCTGGTTCTTTTGTCCAAGGCATTCAATAAAATTCATAAGGCAGGGCCTTTGCTGAGGAAATAAGTGTTTTATCCTTTGACTTTGCTTCTATAACAACTTTCCTTGTCAGTTTTTTCCCGAGTACTAGTTTGTCAGCTTAAACTGAACGGGAGTTTGTAAGAAGAATATTAGAAGTTACTGTTTATCATTGGGAACCCGCCCCACTCCCATTTTCCTATAAAAGCAAAGTGCCTGTGGAGGTAACAGTCTGTTAAATAACTGATCCAACTGGGTGAAAGGACTCACAAAAATTGTAACTCTCTATTAAAGGTATCTGTAACAGCAGATCCAGGTACAGTGTAGCAGGCATGTGCTCCAAACATAGTAATTCATCCAACTGCATTTATAAAAAGTCTTCCTCCAAGCCCAGCTTTTTTTCAGTGGGAGCATTATGTCCAGGATAGCACTGTTCTTGTTGGGAAAAGTGAAGTTCCTTCTTTTGTGCCTACTCTTTTTAGATGTGATTGATCCTTAGATCTTGTAGATCCTCTTCTCCTCACTCTCAACTTCCTCTCTGTCTCCACTGCTGCTACTCTAGTGTGGATTTGGGTTCTCTCATGCCGATATCCCTTCTCTTGTAGTCAAGCTGAGCTGTTTGAAAACCCTGAACAGTCCTCTGAAATTCATTCCCCTTATACTCTTCATAAACCTATATTGTTGGCTAAAAATAAGTTCATGTGGGGTGCCTGGGTGGCTCAGTCATTAAGCGACTGC